TTTTCAATGTAAAAATTATATCATTGACAGTATTTTGAACTTTATCCAGAATATATGTTTTAGCAGCTTGCGCCTGTTCGCTCACTGGATGCTTTATAGTTGTGCACATTGCAGTATGAAGCATTGAGATACATTTTTTGAGCGTTTCTAATGACTCAAGTAGCTGCTGTTTTTGTCTGGGGTCCTGCAAAGAGTGGGCGCGATCCACGGTGAGACTGTTGAGGACAAGCAGAGCCTCAGAGAAGGACTGGAAGGATCTGAGAAGCGTCTTGAGGTCTGGGGATGATCCAAGTTCTGACAGGATCTCCAAAACCTGGTCTGCAGCACCGAGGACTTTTCTCACAGAGGCGTCGTCACTCACCAGGAGGACCTTAAGTACAAACACATATGCAGTATTAGTTATTAATATGTGTAATAAAGCTGTGAGCATAAATGAAATAAGAAAGACAGATTTTCTTTCTCATTCAACAGTGAATTTGAACCAATAACCTCTGAAGTCATTTCTTAGTATTCATGATTTTCAGCTTAATTTTATAGGTGACATTTTGAAGACTTTCCACCACTGAAAAGATAGGATATTTTGTTTTAAATAGTTAAATTTTCTTTATTTTAAAACCAGTGGATAGGTTTCCTCTTGTAAATTTACTACTTTTATGACTGCTTTCATACTTGCACAGATCACATTAAAACTGGGACTAAATCTGGAATTAAACCAAGGCTCAATAAGGAATTAATCAGGTCTATATCAAGACTACACTTGGGTCAAACCAGTAGTGTGAACGCAATCTATGCACTATCAGCATGTGGAACCAGTTGCCATTAGAAATTAGATTAGCGGAGTCTGTACCTGTTTTTAAATCACTCCTAAAAATGCACATTTTTCACTGGCTTTTCACAAGTGAGATGTACATTTCTTGTTGTTGAATATCTTTTGTTTTCTATATATTTTTTAGTAATTGCATGGTGTTTGTATTGTGTATTGTTTTGTGGTGCGATTGTCCTTGTCTATCCTGTGTTTGTGTACAGCACTTTGGCCAGCTGTAAATTATTTAAAGTGCTTTATAAACAAAATTGGTATGGTATCAGCAGCAAACAATCAGCCACATCAACTCCTCCATCGCCTCTTCACAATGTTTTTCTTAAAAAATCTTTCTAGATGTGTTTTTTATTGCATCTCAATCTGCTGTAGTTTACGGTGCTAAATAAAGAATCCAGGTGCATTTCTCTTTTGTCTGTAAACGTTGAAATTTCATCCAGTTATGATATTCATAGTCAACATTCATAAACAATAGGATTTACAGTGATATTACTGTCAGGGAAATTTTGTCATTTTAATATAAACATTTATCTCAAAATGTGCTTAACAAATATAAAATCCTTTTGGGGCCATTAGGGTGAGTTACTTCCATAAACACCACTGTCACATGTCTATAAACTGTTGCTTGAGATTATATAACTGTAAGTTTTCACAGTTTACACATAGTATAGCCTACAAATTAATGAGTCAGTGTAATACATGAAAACCCTTGAGGAATGAATAACAACTAAAACTAACATGAGTTGAGATGACGAGAACTTACAATTAAACATAAAGTAGCCTATTATAGGTCAATTTTGTAGAACAAGTTGGGCATCCTTTATTGTAAGCTACTGTACATTTGGGGACCTGACATTAAACTTTACTTTAATACTAAAAAATATGCTTTTCTGTGAGGCTTCTCATGTGGTCATTATGTAGTCCCTCAAAAATAAGGTGACCAGATTTTCAAAATAAAAAAAACTGGGACATCCCTAGTTTGCAGTTGTTGATAATAATAAAATTGTGAAACGAGTGCATAATTAAGGAAAGTTGTTTGCACTCAGCACTAATGTGAGTCAGTATAGTCACATTTTCTTTGTGTTTTGATCATTTTTAAGCAGCTTTTCTGTATTTTACTTAAAGAAATGACAATGTATGCCTCTCTTTACTGTTGGCAGGTATCAGATTGGTCAAAAATAGGGACACCTATAACATTTCTTGTATAAACTGGGACAAATCACTGGTTTTGGATAAATCTGCTGGGACAGGGGACAGGGACAAAGGGCTCAAAACTGGGATGTCCCGGGGTAAATATTGACATCTGGTCACCCTGCTCAAAAACTAATTCACTACTATATTGTAAGCCAATAAATTCCCACGTTTATAGTTCAAACTAGGCTATATATTACAATGTAGGCTATTATTTTTTCTTTGTCTTAAAGGTTGTATAAAGGATTTTTGAAGGGAAGAGAAATACAGCATCAGTCCTTTTTCAAATGTTGCGCATGCATGACACGATCCTCCTCCTCCCGCCTCCTTACTGTAGAAATCACGCTTATTTACAGCTGGTGTGCGAATTACTGTTGAAGTGACTTGTCTAGAGATAATTTAGCGACTGACACGTCAGTTTTTAGACCCTTCGTCTGCTTCAGTCGCGCTATTGCTGGAAGGAATCTCCAAGAATCACCTCAGTTTGTCTTCGCTCCTTTTCCCCTTCTCTTCTTCTTTCAGTGTTTCTTTCAAAAATGGACGTTCTTTGGCGACTAACTGGTCATGGATTCTCGTCCGGCATCGCAACATACCTTGTGCGAATTGCTACGAAGCTACAGTTTGAAAACGCCTCTAAGAACCGCTGCATAAACCACGTAATCCCTGCGCGCCGGCAGGTCAGTTACACTAGAAACGTAGGGAGTTTGACTGACAACCTAATAGCCAATAGATAAAGACGGAGCCTCGTTGTCGATTGGCTGATGTTTATATGGTCTCACTACGTCCACAGTTGATGGATTTTCATTCTTTTTTTTTTTTTTGGTCATCATAATTACAAGGCTGCTGCGTTGCTGTAATGTTATTTTAAACTTTCACTGACAATCTGAAACAAAAAAAAAAAATTAAAAAAATCTTCCATACAACCTTTAAACTGTGGCTACAATTGTACACGTGGAAATATAGGTTAAAATCATAGTGTTACAAGACAGGTTTTAAGACGTGTTGTACTTTGACCACTCCCAGGAAAACATTTTGCGTGGCGGTGATGAGCTCCTCGCGGTGCTCCATCACTCCGGGCTGGATGTTGAGTTTCTGAGCCGCCAGCAGCACGTGTTGTCCGGACACGGTGAGCGACTCTATCAGAGACGACATCTCCATGTGCAACACCTCATCCTGGGTGTCTCCGGCTTGTCTAGAAACATTTACACACAAAACACATATGCATACATTAGTTAAAGGTGCTCTATGAAAATTTTCTGTTGGATGTTCCATAGTATTTAGCATTAAATTTATCTTGCTTGTTCCATTGAACTATACGGGTGTTCCTGGCCTTTTGGGGTTTTAAAAAACGGGACGTACCAGTGATTTTATAGACTGTATTATAGACTAGACCTTCTGTTTTCGATACCTACAATATTATGCAAAATTCTCACCTATAAGCCACAGATGCCAAGTTGCGCGCCGCTCTCGCCACAGCCTCAGCAGCGCCCTCTAGCTGCAGAAACTGTACAGGTTCCTCTGCCCCCTCACACAACAGCACCAAATGACATAAATGACTGGCCATCGGTGCCACGACCTGCTCCACGGCTGTAGTCCGAATGCACCCGTGATCCAGCAGCGTGGACATGATGGCTGCAGAGTCAGAGTCAGGTTTATCTGTAGAAACAGCCACCCTCACTACAGTGTCTTCTTAGAGTGGACTCGATATGAATTATTGATAAAGCTTTACAAAAGGGCTGGAAGTGTCATAGCAACTGGTATCACATGACCAAGCATTTCGTTAAAATAATTGGCCTATTCTGTATTAAGCATCCACGTGCAAACAACCAACCCTTATAATACTGCAGTTCAAGTCCAAATATAGGCTGTGTAGGAGCTATTTGCTTATTTAGTTTATTTTAAAATTAGTTTATTATTTTTGTTTATCATTTAGTTTACTAATTTAGTTTAATTTGCATAACATATTTTTTCTGTGTTAATATTATGTTTGCTAATTTGTTTACTCTAATTTGGTATTATTTACTTTTTGCACCTTTTCTGTTTTTGGTTTAATCCGTGGGTCACCTAGGGGATAAAGGACGTAGACCAGAGTGCACCTGGGTGGGCCTATGATTTTTTACCAGTTGACAGGAGAGACAGCAAGAGTAGGCCTTCATCATGTATTCTTGTTGTTTGATTAAAATTGGAAATAAATCTTGGAAATACAGCTCTGGTCAGGGATATTGATTTGTTTTTTCCGTCACTCCATAAACCACAAAGCCATGGTGCCCAAAAGTGATTATTTGAATCACCACTTTTGTTTGTTACTTTTATTTGACAAATAGTCACTACAGGCAGTATATAGACTGTATAGACATTTTCAGAATATTGGGGCTGACAATTTTAAATTTCATCAGGAAGATTAGGAGTGAGATAACCTGACCCAGTGACTATCAAACTCTTACTAGGCTTGAGAAAAATGTTCAAAGGAAACGTGGTAGGCTATTTATAATAAATATATCGATATAAATATAATAATTTTCTATTCATTTTATACTGTTACAGTCAGTGTACAGATTTTAGTTCTAATCAGGAGTATATAATGTTCAATTAACAAAAAAAACAGACTTAATATGAATTCCAGTTCCATGTGGTTTTGTCTTTGCCATTGTTGTAGTGCCTCTCAGATAAGATCATTTTTTAAATATATTTTCTTTTTGAGTTAGATGCATTTTGTTTGAATTAATTGTCAAAGAGTGACAGCAATGCTGAAAATGCAATATAATACAAATCATACTGACCTAAACGTCCAGTTGTGCTTTTGGCAAATTTGCACATCAGCCAACAGAGGGCACTACTCCCCTTAAAATCCATCCCTCCCAACTCTACCAGAACCAAGACAAATGGTACAATAGAAATTCACTCTATATTTTTATCAACAGATAAATATACAGCTTTGAAACAAAACAATTTTGAACATCAAACATACAGCAAACTATAATGGAAATGATAATCAGTGACAGTAGTATACTCAGAGCCAAACTTCAAAACATAAAAAGTGGGGAAAATTGTGACAATTTACAAACATTCAAAACAATGATATCCATCACAGTTAGCAAAACAAAAATCAAGTGTTGAATTCTCTGCATTAAGCTTTACCATGCGTTTGGGGTGTACAGTCAGTATATACCAGTGAAAACATGAGTTATTATAAGAGTGAATCTATTAATAGAGATAGCCAAGCAATTGGAAAATGAACTAAAGTGTCTTGGAAAAAAATCTTTGGCATTGCACATTTCATCTCTCTAATGCAACCGCTCCTAATATATTTCATATCTACACAAATATAACAAAATAAAATGTCTTTCTGGGGCCATTCATCATGATCTTGAATTCATATAAAACACCTTTTCCTCTATGGGATTGTCTATACAAGCTTTCACAATAGGGAAACCTGTTGCGAAATAGTAGGCTGTATGTGGTCAAATGATTTGGGGATTTATTAGAGGCAGAGCTAAAGCATTCCTTCATGTTGACTAAAATAAGCCCTCCCGGTGAGGTCGTTTATGTGCCGTGATTGAACGCAGTCCATTCTCGCCTATTTTTAGGGCATTACTCAGTCCAAAAGGGCCCCAATAAAAAGGATGTACGCAGACTCCTCATACATGCTTTCATCTGTTAGGAGAGTAATGCAGGGTCTCATATTTCATTGTTAAACTTAATAACATAATAGTAAAATTAAATTGTGCCTTTAGGAGGTCTGGGATGGGTTTCAGATAAATCTAGATCAGTCCTGTCATGAGGAGGCCCACGGACTCATTTCCGAGAGGTGGGGTTTCTAAACTGTGGGGCAGGTACAAATTGGATTGTCATTTTTTTTGCAGCTCACCCTGATTCATTCTGTGAGCTGACCTGTAACTTGTAAACTTCTTGTTTCCAGGGAGCTAGATAGGTTTAATGTGGAACTTCTACCATAAAAAGCTTAGAAAACCATAACTAACTTAATTCTTACAAAAACCTCCAGTTCATGAATGGCAGCCTCTGTGATTTTAACTGAAAACCATCTGCTTCTCTTTGCTTCTTAAATGAGCACAACTGTGTAAGTGTGGTGAATCAAGTGTTAATACAAACTCCACAGTGTTGACTTGATTACAACATCATGACGCCAAGATCTCATGGGACATTTTTTTCAGCTTTTTTTGACTGGGAGCTCCTCACTGATGACATAAGAACATGGTGTTTTAATAGCTGTGTGAGTGAAAAACATAGAATTAGCTTTGAGAAGTGAGGAGTTGAACAGATGACTTAAAACAAGATATGCACAGGCAGGAAGTGATATAGGAAAGATACCATCAAACACTCCCGGAAATGTCTGAATATACACAGGCGCCAATCACAATCTGAACAGGACATACTGTATCTTTGGCAAAACGTAAAATTATGAGCCATTTTATCAAACATCAGTGCTACAAAAACCAGTGACAGGGTTTGCCAACTCTAGAAGCCCTCTTTTGCACCATATGGCTTTAAGTGAAAGTAAAAAAATAAAATTGCTCTGTCACACAGCCCTGAGGGTATTGTTGTCCATTATATCAAGTTGTTCTTTTCCCCCATCTCAGTTCAGTACGTCCCGGCATTGATTGTCCTGGGAGTTCCTCTTCTCGGAGATATTTTAGCTTTAAGTGTCCTCTTTGGCAAGCCACGCACTGTCACCTCAGAAGTCTCTTTCCTGGACCCCCACCACCACTCCAATGAAAATAATACAAAGCCTCCAAAAAATATGGAGAAATTCCTCTCTTCCACATATGGAAGACTGCAGGGGGTGCTGGGCTGTGAGACCCGATGCCATTGGATCCTTCTCGACCCAATATCTAGTTCATAAGTCTCAGTGATTCTTCTCCATCCAGTCCCAGCTTTCCTCACTGTCCTTCCTGTTCTTCTCAGCTTCAATGATTTCTCTATAGCGTCGTCTGAAGAAGCCCATCTGCCAAAAAGGTATAAAAATATGAGTAAAGTGTATGTGAGGCCATACCAGTGGTTTTACAAGTTCAACAGATCATTAAAAACAAATCACTTGGGTGCTACTTGACTGCACAGAAAGTATATCATATTATTTTATGTTAGTGAACCTAAAAACCAAAGCCAGTGATGATTGATAATGCAACAGGTGGCTGCCAGTGCACTTGTATTGGATGTGCCCATTGGGGGACATAAATCATATACGCTATAACCTTGAAGGTCATTTCAAGTTCAGGTTGTGAAGTCCGTTTCCAAATATCAGTAGAGAAAGAAACGAGAAAAGTTTGCATAACTTCCCTCTTGTTTTTGCACTGGTGGCAAAATGAATTGCATAAGTTTGTATTAGTGGGTGTAGGAGTAGAATTAGTAGTAGTAGTAGTAGTAGTAGTAATAGTGATAGTACTAGGAGCAGATGATATTTTTTATATAGAGGTAGTACTATTGTAGTGTGTAGTACAGACTTTGAGAATTTGTTTCACCTCTTGTGAACTTATACTAAAGGTTATCACGGTGGGAGGGAGTATGTTTAAAATATATGGTATGCTTTTATAAATATTCCATTGTTAAATCAGAGTGAACCACCAACATCGATGGAGCTGAAAAGTTTGACTGAAAATACAGTGTTTCTTTAGGAATGTAATATATCGCCTTATTCAAAGCTGTGATACTGTGGAGCGGCAGGCGCAGGGGTGATGTCTCTCTCACCGCAACTCCGTTCATTTATCTGCTTTTGACTAATACAGTTTATTGATACAAACCTGCGCTCTCCTCAGGCATTTCCTGCACTGAGCAATACAGGACATGTGCTGCTCTTGTAAGTGCCGTTTATTTTGGCAAGATCCGAGAGACCCGCGGAACTGAGGGAAATCTATCCCAGGGCCAACATTCCAGGTTTAGTCGTGGTATTCCCGGTGGAAAGTGGAGCACTGGAAAAAGTAAGGGAGTTCTGTGCCAACCGTGCCCTTAGATATAAGCGTAATGACGTTTCCCATCGGAGCGCCTCTTTCATGTGAGTGTTACAGTGTGAATTATTGTCCGGCGTGAGGTTTGTCGTTTTCATGGATGTTTAAACTCAGCCCACTCTCTGTGTGACATCCAGCTGTCCCAATACAGCCGAACAATACTGTGAGGTGAAGCTACAGAATCTTTGAAAGCATTTGTTATACATGGCCACTGTCTCAAAGTCTGACCTAAAGTTACAAAGACATTGCTTTCTTGTATTCACTGACATGTTTAATGTTTCATCACTTATCTCATTTCTAAGGAATTTCTAAGGTAGCAAAAAATGGACAGAACCATTTTGAATTGCAAGAAGCTGTAACCGTAACAGGATTTGACGGCTGGCTGTATATTGTCAGTCTCCAAATGTGAGATGATAGTGTTGTCAGGACTGGTGTGAACTACTACACCATGTTTACAGTAAAGACTTGACTAATGGATTGAAAAAGTGCTGTTGCAGATGTTTCTTGTAAAAGGAAGTAACCAGATGACAAAATGTGCTTGGTCAGGGACATGTACCTTCCACAGCAACACGGCGAGTAGTAGAAAGATGAGGATCCCCACCAGCAGACTGATGGCGATGATCCAGCCCACCACGTACCCCCGGGGCTCCTGGCTGTGCAGTGCCTCAAAGATCAACTACAATACAAAAGCCTGAGTCAGTCTCTGAGTCATGCTTCAGTACAATACACACAACACACAGGGAGAGGGAGCACAGAGCTGGTGATGCAATGGAGTGCAACTGTAATGAAAGACATATTGTAACTTTGAATCTAATCACAGGGATTCAAGGGTAAAAGTGAATAAAATACAGTGATTTTATTTTATCTTAGGGACAGAATAGGCTGTAGTGATAGTGGGTGTGGTGGAAGTATAGAAGTAGTATACTGTATGTAGTACATAGTAGTTTTACAGGAAAAAGTACATCATATCCCAAATATATATTTGAGTGGCTTGCAATTGGTCCCTCACAACCAAACATATTTTGGGTGCAGAAGACAGTGAAGATGAAGTGTCTTGCCCAAGTGCTCAGTGGCAATATGATTTGGATGAGGTTGGAACCATAGGCCCTCCAGTCTATTGGTACTGCATTGTGATATTGTTGTCCAGCCCACATGGTTACGCTGACATTTTAGTAAAAAAGTTAGAAATGTGGGCATTAAGGATGGCTGGACCCAAGTTCTAAATAAAGCAAAGTTCAACCAAATGCCAGGTACAACAAAAAATGTAAATAATTATTTGCACTTCTAAATTTGAAGGTTAACAATTTTTATTTATTTTGGGAGACAGACTGAGGACGGGGTCATGGTCAGTCTGACCTTTGGCTCAGCAGGCAACAACCCAGCGGCGCCACCATCCATTTGAGCTGGATAAACAGTAAACAACTTGGGCTACATTTGGCAAAGGGATTTGTTTATTGTTGTTTGGAATAATGACGCAAATAACAGTGTAGTGGAGAAACACATTTTGAACTAACAAAGATTCATGAGTTACTGCAGATTGCAATGAACTGGTCATTTATAATATCACTCCCCTTTACATTTGTATTCCTCTGCTTTTAAATTTATGTTTGGAAGGCAAAGTAATACTCCAATTCATCAGGTCAAACAAGGGAGTTTATGAGAAACACGAGAAAATGTGTTAGAAACTGTCAGCAATGGCAACACATGTTTTTTTTTACTTGTTTGTGTATTTTTTATTTCCATATCACAATTTTGGTGCATTTGTTGTATAAACTAAACCACATACTAATTAAAACCCTGCCAATTATAATAGATTACAATGGGAAAATGGATTCAGAACAAACCAGTAAATATTGAACTCACTTTAATTTACAGTGGTTCTTTGATCAAGCTTGTGTTAAAATTGAGGGATACTTGCTTTGAGCTATTTGATACATCAGTGCACGGTTCATTTCCATCACAATCACTTAGACTGATTATCATTCCATTACAGGTGTTTGACAGATGTAAATATAGCATTACTCCTGACCATAGCTAAGTCCATTTTAATGTGAGCTTCAGGCCTTAAATGGAGAACAGAAGACGGGAGGACACTCAGCTGATGTTGATCTTAGTCGTGTTGAAATTCAAACTGCTACAAATAACATACAATGAGTTGGGAGGGTAACAAGATTCCCTTCTAATTTACGTGTGTGCATTTACTGTGAAAGTACATCGTATTTTGAGCAAAAATGGTAGAAAGGTACACTATGTAACTGGGCTTGTCTCCATGAAGATGTTAGTGCTGTGTCTGAAATGTCCTACAATAGGATTAAACCTTTCTATGTACTGTATATCCACGGAGTCAAGATGATACCACAAGGCCAAGTTGCAGGTCAGATCTGTGGTGAACTTACTAAAAAAAAGAATGCATGTTTTTAAGGTATTTTTGAGCTATAAAAACACAATTAAATTCCAGATAGAAGACGTTTAATGCCATACAGTGGGACATTCTAGCAGGTGGCCTACTCCCACTAGAAAAGGTATTTAGTGCAACTTTAAGCGTCAATGCGTTTGTCTAAAATGTAAGTTAGTAGCAGCAACAAATGTATTAGAAAAAATACTGTAATATATGGATAAGTTTATAATTCGCACATTGAGTGAAAATTAATGTAGCACTTTTAGTTTTTAAACAACCAGGCAAAATGAAATGTAGGTTAATGAAGAAAGACATTCTTGACATGATAATGCTGCAATACAAATGTGGCATGTAACACCAACTGTAAAACAAAACCAAGTGGACAAGAGTGCATTAATCTCTTTGTAGAATTCTTTCCCACATTAACAGCCCCCCTCTCTGCTCTACCCCTGTTGCACATGCTGGACTACATGCCAAAGCACTTGCGTATAGAGAATACATGAAAGCTCAAATGGTCATTGCACTTTGACTCCCAAATTGACAAGTGCAGTTTGTGGGAATGTGCAAAATTCGTTCAACAGCAACTAATATTAGGGACATGGCATGATGGCATACCAACAGACAGGCTTAGTTACATGTCATGGGTGGTCAAAACTGTGCTGAGTTATAAGTTGTGAGTTGAGTTTAAGGAGAGACCACAAATCAGAGTTAGCATGTACTCAGTTAATACAGCTCCTATGGGACAAGGTGAATGTGTACTGAAGCTGGATATGTGATGAAAAAATGGTAGTACTTGTAGGTGCGGAGACAGTGGTCATAAATCAGAAGTAATAATAATTTCAGACACTTTGTTTAATTTATTTTGTTAGTTTGTTTCATTATATCACTTGTCTGGTGGGATTAGTCTATATGGAGATGTGCCATTATTTTGCATAGAATAGGACAGAATGGCATTAAACTAATCCATGTTGCATTTATTCAATTATAGTTTGATCATAGTGTGAGAGAGCTCACCTCTCCAGAGATCAGCACTGTAAATAATGGTGTTAAAAAATTATAACGGAACTTCCCAATATTACATGTTGTATATATAACTTCTATAAAAATCACAAAGTTATCAGGGACAACAGATCGCAGTTAGCAGTCTATATACTCAGTCAGAGGCTCCTATGGGATAAACTAACTGTGTGTACTGGAGCCTTTGGGAGCAATAGCTACTGGTGCATTGGAAAAGTGTTGAAAGAATGGCACGCTACACTCGTATAACGCTGCAATTTTCCAAACATCCAGCTCCAGGGTCATGAGGCTGTGGCCCAGTGACCGCTCTAATCACATGATATATCTGCAGTGCTCACCGTGATCATTACATTTGATCTAGAGGGCTTTTCAATCACTCAGCGAGCAACAATAGAGAGGCAGGGGTGTCCTTGGGCACAGCTGAGGAGCCAAACCTAGAGAGCACATACCCATTGGTCCCAGCTGTTCTGTGCACTCACATCTTTACAAATGAACAACAGTGGACACAACAGTGAATGTGGACCAGCAACTGACATTTTCCTTGCTTCAGATAAAAGAGAGAGCTAAAATGTCTTTGATCATACACTAGTCATAAACACATTCCACATTTTAAGAAATCAAAGAATATTCATTGTTAAAATGTTAGTATTGTATGCCATCTTCATGTACTTTTTAATATCTCTTCAAGGACAGTTTTATATTGGTCTCTCTTTGTTCAGTTTAAAATACATTCATTGGGGTTGTTTTGGCCTTGTCCAACCCAAACCCATGCAACAGGGATCCATTTGGCACTGAGTCAGTAAATTTGAAGGACATACTAACAAACATACTAACAGATTGAAAGATGGACTTTTTTTATTCATGAGTTGGGCCAAATTCGATGAAACAGTTTCCCTATCAAAGCATAGTATGAATAGAAGGAACAATCAAACCAACGGACTGGATTTTATAGAGCTATTATTATTATAATTAAACTTACTGAGATCTCCTCTGGCAGCCCCTTTGGCACCTCCACAGCCCTTTCACTGATTTGAACACTGCCCCTAGTCACAAACTGGATCACTGAAGAGCTGTCCTGTAGGCAAAATGTGCAGCAATAAGTCAAAGCACTAAACAACATACAAAATTATTATTGTTTAAATACTGAAATACAGTAGTTACCCTTTTTAATATTTCAGTGTTGAGTAGAAGTTTTATATCTATATTTAATACTTCCTCTTTGAGCTGTGGACCAAGTGTGCAGGTAATGGTCATACAAGCTCGCCCCGGTCTGTCACAATCCTGTTACACAACAAAGAGGAACATTTGATTCATTTTGACTTGACTATTGCAACATTTATTACAACTGTAAAGTTTCATGTAGAAAACTTACCAGGACTTTGCGACCCGATTTGGTGAAGAAAGCAAATATGGAGTGGAAGATGCTCTCTCTGTCCTGTGGGATGGTACAGGGTGTGGGGTTTCTGTGGGGGGTGCAATTACCTCTGCCGTCTGCCACCTAAAGGCATATGCACATTTAATTTTAATTAAATTATGGTAAAGCAACAGGTTCACAGTGTAATTTTTCTCATGGAGGGTTCACCAATTGGCTGTCTCTTTGGAGATGTTATTGGTTTACCTAAAATGTTACACAGTATGGCAATAAACTAATCTATCTCCTTGGAGACAAGCAGGTGACTCCACTAGGCCAAATTATATGTTGCATCAGCGAAAAGGCAACCCCACACACAGTAAGACACATAGAAAATATTTATGTTTAATGCAAAAAAAAGAACATCTCATAGTGAATCCCAAAACTGTGATATTACATAGTGCACATTAAAACAAGGAGACTCATACATAATAATCAACATAATAAATTTAAATACGGTCGATAAAATTTTATGTAGGGGCAACCTAGTCTCAAATTGAAAGTGAAAATGTGGACATAAGCAGTCTCGTCACCTTAAGTGGCCTAAACCCATTATCATTATGACTGCCAGTGCTGACAGGAAGGCCAACCCAGCTGAGAGGTGCTACCCCTCCCTGTCCCGTTTCCCATATGGAGTGATTTAGAGGTGTCTGTTTTACGTCCATATCCCCAGGGACCAGTTCTCCTTTTCCTCTTCAGGCTGTCCCATAGCTCTGCATGGGGGAAATATCTCTCTTCATTGTCTGCCAGGCTGCCACCCTCTTGTGTGGCCATTCTATAGATTTTTACTGCAAAGCTCGCTCATGTCCTGTTGCTGCTTTGACAGAAATGTCTAAAACAAATAAAGCTGCTACACCAGATGCTTGGACAAACCCGGTCCTTACATGACGGGTCACTGGGTAAAAAGTAATTCAAACAGAATGCAATTATTTGCAAATTTAGAGTCCTTAAATATTATTATTTAACTGCTCAAATAGTTGTCTTTCATTAGTACCATTTAAAAGTGCACTATGTATTTTCTCTGAGGGGTCTGCTTTGTGCTTGTTTTGCCTGGAATGTTCCCAATGGTATTAACATATTCTTCTCCATGGCGACAAGCAGGTGACGGCAACAGATTAAGTTACAGGTCAGATATGTGGAGAGACAACTCCGCTCACAGAAAGAATGTGTAGCTTTTAAGGTATTTTTGAACAAACTGATACCGTACTTCTCTATGAAGGCAAGCGGATGGTTGACCCCTTATAAGAAAAAAATCTGGATATATTGTTTGCTAGTCAAATTTACATAACATAATACATAATTTTAAGATATCTGTAAAATTAACCATTGTTTCATGGTTTGCTTTACTTTTTACAGTTCCAATGTTCGGTTTTGCTCTTAGCTTGTGCAGTGAATCATATCCTGACTAACTTAACTCACTACATAGTGTAAGAACAAAAATATGTGCCTATATGTCATTTTAGACTAAACATTAAGAGCATTTGTGATGTGTGGTTCCAGCACGGGATGGTACGCAGCAGTAGCAGCTCTACAGGTGTCCCTTTCCCATTTCGTGCAAGCCGTCTGATCCCCTCAAAGTGATTCCAGATGTTTTTTCGGGGAGGCTGAGATACAGTCACTTCTATCTAACCATTCACAGCAAATACAATTAACAGTTTGAGCTCCTACCTATATGAAGAGGGCAACCCAAGGGTTAAGAAAACAGGTAAAACCCACTGAGAGTATTGTATTGCGTTATCTAAATGTAAAATGTTGTGAAACAAAATGACAGGGCTAGCTTCAGTAGCTACATCAACATTTTTCACTTTCGGTTTCACTGGCCCCACGGTGCCCCCCACAAAGCAAATTGCCCATGCCCATGAAACACCATTTTAGCAAGTTTCAGAACATAACATTATACTCAAAGGTGAATTTGTGCAGCTGAAGTGTATGAGAGGAGACAGATGTAAGCTGGGTCGAAAAACTGCCTACAAGTGAATAAACTCATAAATAATGACTTGGACTGAGTAAATAAAGTGTGTTGAGAAGTATGGGCACACACCTGTGTCTCTACAATGTGGAACATGTCTGCCCCATTGCCAGCCAGACGGTTGGGTATCCGGATGTCTACAGTGGAGCCAGGGAGGCGACTGGGCCCGTTGTTTATGGCCTGGAAGAACATCAACCAAGAAACATTAAAGGAGAAACAGATTAAGAACAGTTCAAGCCCAAATAACACATTAAAGTAAAATTTGTCCTACACTACAAGTAAAAAATGATGGTTTAAGAAATTACTCAAGGATGAATAAAACATATTTGACAAAACTACTACTCTAACTCTAACTGTCTGAACATAACAATAGAATAGAATAGAACATAAATAGAATAGAGCACAAAAATCATATCTGAAGGAGCAGTGAAAGAAACGCAGATGGTCAAATAATTTAATACAGTCAATGTAATTTGATTTACTCACAGTGGGAAAACTAACCAAAAGTAAGAGTACCGTTACATCGCTCAAGTAGGTGTAAAATTATGGTGTGTAAAATTCAGTACAATGCACAACTTTATTAGAAAATTATTCTAGTAAAGCTACCCACCTCTGTAAACCACACATTTTCTACATTTTTTTTCATCTTATTTATTGATTTATTGATTTCCATTTGGTAAAAAGGATTAGAATTATAGTAAAAAACACATATTTATATATAATACACACATATTTTTTGCCAAAATGAACCAAGACTGGTACCAACAATTATTCACTAAACAGGTATTGTATTTTAATAGTATAGTACCTGGAAAGTTATATTCAGTGGTTGAAACTGGCACTCCATGTCTTCTAACAGGACAAAGCGCGAGGCTTCCACGGTGTTCCCATAAATGAATGAGCTCGGCGCCACCACACTGTGGAAGAGGTTGTATATTTATAAAATTATAAAACAGTAATAAAAATACATTTGACATTCACAAAAGCCTGGTAAAGTCCCTACATTTTAGTGGTGAGTGTTTGCATTTTCAGAGATATAAGTCAGACGTGTTTTGTTTTTATAGCGAAGGGCTGTTTACATTCAAACAGCAGCTTTATCAGACGTCAAACCTCTGGCACTGCTCTCCATCTCTCTCCCGCTCCATTGAACCAGAGCCATGATAAAGTGTTCACAGATAAGACTTTTTAAGTTGACATGGCCCATACTGACACCAGCACACTCCCTCGCATCCTCCCACGGCCAGATGGTACAAGTCTCTGTCTAATAGCACAAATACTGTAGTTTTCTAACTGATTATGTACCATTAACTAAAAATGTAATAACTAATTTGAGTAATCTCTACTTCCGTTTACTTGTAAGGCAGTCGTTTTGTCTTTATATCAAAGGGGTAGAAAAAAGGAATTGTGGACACCAATCACACCAACCAAATAGCCAGGAACTGACAGATACCCTAAATCTGTATTGTTTATTGAGGTCAATTTCAGAGGTAATGCTCAAAAACATTAAGTAAGAAAAAAAAAAAGAAATTAATAAAACAATGCGTGCCAAGAGAGGTTTTAGTAAAGTTCTAGTTTCCAGTTTTTCCATTGGCTGGTTGATGTTAAAGTACATTCAGTTTATTTTTGTCCAGAAAATTGTCTAATTCTATCAAAAAAAAAAAGTAAAATGTAAAAATGTAATGTAAAAAATATTTACATTCACAATCATAGTGACCAACGTGCATACATGGGAACTCACCCAGTGATGGTTGTGTCAGTTTCATGGACAAGAGGAATGGACAGGTCCAGTGTGTTGTCATGAAGTTTGTGCTCAGGATTGGCACTGTAAAAAATATTTAGTTCATAATTATTAGTTTGTAGCACGTAAACGAGTCAAACAAAAAGTACAGAATGAAATATTTCACCTTTTAGCTTGAACTAAAAACTGCAGGGTGTCATTTTCTCCTGAGAGCTGGCTGGTGTCAAAAATCACTGCAAAATGATACTGGAGGCGGGATAGAAAATAGGAAAAAAGTTTGAGATAACTGTGACAGGTGTAGCCTGTTGTGCAAATGTCATATGAAATTGGTTCCACTTGGACCCACAGACGCATCATATTTCATTAATAGTGGATTAGTGAGTTCACCAATCATAATGCCAACGGGATTTAGTCAAGACTTATACCGATACAGCAGAGGCCACTCGAAATATAATGAAACAATAATAAGATGATGAGAATTTCACAGACACTGAAACAAAAATGATAAAAATAGGTTTGTAGTGACCATAAGCTGAAATACCTTGGTCTGAGCTCTCATGAAAGGAAATCCCACGCTGCATTTGAGGAAGTCCAAGTCAACAAGTGCACAGGAAATGCCCTTTTCTTCCTGTAACAACGAAAGATAGAATGTGTCAAACTGACAATTTGGAGACAGCACAATCGCAGAGACACAAGACGACAAAGAAAAACACAAAAGACAATACACAGTTATCACAGCGACTCAAAAACACAAGCAGATAAAAAAAACTGTTGTGCTATAAAACCCAACAAGAGCATCCACATCATGTTAACTGTGAAAAGTGTCAAACTACTAAACAGAATATTCTGGCAAGGTAACAAATGTACATTTTGTTTAATTTAGTTTACTGATATTCACTAATAATATTTCTAAATTACAGCTCTCTGTCTGTTCACAGCTGTTGAAGGCTGTTACCACTATTGTCTACCATTAACCTGCTTTCAAATAACTTCTTCAGCAGCTCTAGGATCCCATATGTGGTCCAAGTGTTTGCACATAAAGCCTCATATTCCTGCAATCACACAATATTTCTGGGCAAGTCGTGAGCAGGTATTTGCAGCTCATCCTCATGTACACCATATAAGACAGATAATTTGTGTGCTCGAATTGGTTAATCAGGTTGCATTAAACCGTGAATTGCAACCTGATTATGTGTCAACATTTTTATGCCCAGCTTTGGTCTGCTTTTGAAAATTCATTAATTAAAAAGTTATTACAGTTTTCCAAATCAACAGACCAGAAGGTTGGTGGTTAGATCCCCACTCCCTGAATTACATACTGTTTGAACACAGAAGGACACTACATGACAACAAAGATTTCTTTCATAACTATGGTTTCAGAGTGATGAAACTTTAGGCCCACTGCAACCAACCATGAAAATACAAGCAACAGAAAATATTTTGAAAGGGCAAAAGTCTTCTAAAAGTTCTTCAAAGCAGGAAAGAGTAATGTGACTGAAACCCATGAATATACAGTATTTGATGTAAAACTTTAAATGCCCAGATATAGAATTGATATAATATACACATGACTATTTAACTCCGAAGTGGAACTAAAAGTAACATTCAGTATTTGTTATCACAGTGAACAGGTGAGAATAAGCTGCTTTTCAAACCCACCTGGATACACATCCTACTGAGTTCTTATTGGTTTTTGTTGGAGTCACATTTCTCCATGCAAGAGAATAGGTCCCTGGCCCTTATTGAAGTCTGAAATTAGGTTAAACTAAGAATGTACAGAGCAGAGATGGCACACACGCAGCCAGCAGGAGGGTAATGGGACAGGCTACAGGCCGTATGTTTGGGAGCTTGTCTAAACAATATGGAGCTTCACCGGCTGCGCTGTCTAAACACTCGGGCTCTGACCTGACGAGGAGAGAGATTCTTTCAGAGAGAGTTCACCCAGAGGCTGTTGGCCAAAAACTCCTGCTTTCAAAATATAATCCCATATAGCCATATTTCAAGCGCATGACAACCCTGTATGATAAAATAGAGACTGATGATGCATCTAGGCCTCAGAGGTGGATGTAGCAATTTCTAAAAACTCAAATTACTGTACTGTAAGCTTGTTCTAATTTGTGTTAGTGTTTATTATTTAAACTAATTTGTACAGCTATGCATTTGAAGCTAAAGTCCAGTTGATGGTGGCTGATACGTTGCTTATTCACTTATATTATTGCATATGATGTACACTCTTTATGATCATCACAACTCAATACATACAGCCTGCATTGCATACACTCACAATCCCATTTGGCAAGTCAGAGGAAAGTCCAGTGAACATGCCAACTTTTAGCTCATGTTTAGAATTCTTATCCAAACGTGATAAAGGGAAAGTGCTAAGAGCTAAGGGGGCTGGCATATTTATAAGTCATAAATCAGACCAAATCAGTGGGGATGAAATGACTTGAGTATCTATCTTTATCTTGCACTTATGAGTACTTTATTATCAAAATACTCTACTATGGAAACAATTTCTAATCTCCAGTCCTCTTTAATGTTGTTCCTTGACATACATCGGCTGCCATTCTGCCACCTTCCCTTCCATAAAAGTGTTCATAATTAAACTGACCTGAGGATACACCCTTCATTTTACTTTTCATCTATTTTTTGGAGGCTATTCTACCCCTGCCATAAATCAATCCACAACTTTCCCTCGCTCAGCAGATCTATCTTTGAGGCTGTACTCACGTCTTCATTAACTCTAGACCTGCCCCTTCAAATGAACTGTCACTATGGGGTGACAAGACCTTGTGGCGGCCATGTTGGAATTCTCACTATTTCCTGTATCCCTGTGTGCTGCTGTTCAAACAGGACTGTCCCCGTGGGATTGGGCAGGATGGGGAAGTGGTTGTTTACTCATCACCCACCTATAATCACACCTGAGAGAGAGCAGAGCACCCCAGCATATGATGTGGGTTTGGGGTTGGGCTAAATAAAATATTGCAAATTAGTCTTCATAGTCCAAAATGTCAAAAATGTATTAGAATGATTTTAAACTTTTATATATTTTAAAATAAGATAAATGACAATACCAAAATATTACATACTAACTGATAATATTGTTATTCTTTGTTATTTCTTTGTTTAGTTGTTTTAGACTTGATTTTGTTATATTTTAGCTTTGCACTTTTTGGTACCAGTTTATTGCTGGTTTAGTTTTTTGATTTAGACACAAGTTTTACGTTACATAATTATTATTTTTTTCTTCAATCAGACTATCTCCTATGACCTTGTTATTGCAGGTTTCAACATAGTTACTGTATGTTTTTCACATCTGGTGCCCCTCTGTTTACAGCCTTCACAGGCAGCACACTGACCACTGTTTGTCCAGCACTTCTTCACCCTCTCACTCTTGCTTACTTTCCCTGGTCTCCCAAACAAATGGTAGTGTTTTAACAAGTGGCAAGTCCATTAACTATCGCTGCACTGCTGTTGGTGACAACTCATAGGAGGTTTAGCGAGTCTCTCATGTTGTAATTGTTCCTAACATCGCCAAAAAATTCATAAAACCATTGTCACCACTTTATTTACAGCAGCTAAAGAAGTGCATGAAAAATGCAGTATGTAACTTCTCTGGTGGGGCATCTGCTACTTGCTTGTCTCCACGGATGCATTATTTCTTTGTTTAGAATGTTCCACAGTATGGTATTAAAGATATGTATTCCTCTGGAGACAAACAGGGGATGCTATTAAGCGTAGTTGTAGGTCAGATGCCTGGGGAGGTGACCCTGCTCACAGTAAGGATACATGTTTTTCAAGGTATTATTTGTTTTAGTCTAACTAGATATATTGTGGAACACTCCAAGCAATGAGCAATCTCTGTGCAGGTAGCAGACGCCCTCACACAAGAAATGTTACGCACTACATCTTTAACATAAAATACGGAACACAGATTTTTCATTGCATGTAAAAGTAAAACCAAGAAACCCACTTATTTGAGCCATTGCAGTTTGTGTCCTCTGGGCGCAATCTCATTAGAAAAGGGCTGAAACAATGGCTGCTACAGACCTTTCAGCTGACCACTTGAAACATTTGAGATAAAAAAGAAACACAGGAGCCAGGTCTGTTTTCTGATTCTCCAGGGAGTTAAGGCTCTGCTCCAGAAACCATTTCACCTCCAAAGCCGAATGCATGTTAGTGCTGCAAGAACAACACTGAGCAAACAGCAGCAATCTATAAATGTGTGAAGTTCTTTAGTCATATTTTGAAACAATTGTACACAATTACTGATCTGGCAATATACACACAGAAGATTGTAAAAAGTAGAACACTCCAAAAGCATTGGCTATACTTCGCAAGAGTAATGATAAACTTAAACCTGAACTCAAGCTTGTTTCTTAATTCCAACACAAATATATTATAGTATATTTTACAAACTCTGGACTTCACATGGTAAAACGTACACAGTAACTATCCAAAAATAATACATCCATTTCCTAACACATAGCTAACGAAGAAACATAAATAAAAGCTTTTTTATGTTTAGAACTGCCTCCCAGTCTCACCTATACTATTGTGAAAATTAATATAGGTTCAAGCATCTCTGACAGAAGAAAACACTTCAGAGTTGGGATGGGAGTGAGCCTTAACCTTTGAGAATAAGTTCACATCAGCACCTTGAGTAATAAGAAATGCATTGGGAAGCATGCAGCAGTAAATCCAGCCAGTGGCCTCTTTGTCATCTCTACATACCAGGGGCTTCCTGTTGCCGTAGCGCAGCGGACCACCCCAAGTTATTAGGTTCCTGGACTAAATGAGGCTGTGTGACTCTTGGAAACCTGATACTTAATGTCAGCTGGGTTCATTGGATTAGCTGTGAAACCAAATGCTATTTTCTTCTAATATTGGCCCAGAGCGCAACCTCAGTTTAATTCAATTGCATCTCTGTTTGGGAAGGTTGAGCCATGTCACCGCTTATGTGCATTATAGAGATTGTGTTATCCATCACAGGAGCAGAAAATGCATGCTTGAGGTCTATTATGAGGAGATGCACTTGGAGATAGATGGTGTCCCCGAAAGCTTTTGAAAGGCTATTGACCTATGGCATCATTGAGACCTCTTAGCCTCTTTAACAAATGAATAAAGCAGAACATTAGCTCTAAAATAACCACAACACTCTTGGCTCATTTGGCCTATTTTCATGCAGCATTATTCCTTGGCACTGCTTTGTGGCTGGAAATAGGCCCTTGTGCACAAGATACTATAGCTCAGAACATTAAGTGCATACTTATTTATGCTTATGGTAAATATTAAGAATCAAAACATGAACCAAATGTATAAATGTTATAATCTGGCTACTCCCCGTTTCACTAGCAGTTGCCACAAAAATCTAGTAACAAAGTAACTTTTTTCTCGATATGCTCTTCCATTTGTAAGTAGTAAAGATGCCTACCCAGGGATACAACAAGGATGCGTCTTGAGCAAGGATCAAACATAGTATGAATTATTTCTTTACATATTATTATGATTACATAATAATAATAATAATAATAATAATAATCAAAGAATAAATGTTGATATTCATGTTTTAAATGCGCTTAACAATGCAGTTCTGTGTTGCGGTAAAAAATCTCACCCATAAGAGATCAAAGAGTGTGTAAATCGTATCATAATCTCACTTCTCCAGTAGTATTGTCATGGGAGCTTTCTTTTTACACCGTGAATACATTCTCAATGGTCCATAAGTCAGACATTATGGCACTGGTGTTGAGATGGTGGGTCTGTGGCAGCTGTAGCCTCCTGCGCCTCTCACAAAAGTTCACTGTATCATCTAAAAAGCCTAGTTAATCCTGATCTGAACTTTTGCCGATTCTGAGATTCATTGTATAGTCTGTACTGACACTGTAGCCATCATCTTACAAGAAAAATGTTGCTTCCAACAAAGAATGTACAATATTGGAGGTATAAGCATGTATGACTAATTCCTTTTACAGTAACACTGGGCGGAGCGGGTGAGGTATGAGTAACACCGAAAAAGTTGGGCATGAAATAAATAGTAACATTTTTTATTTAAATGCGTTGTTTACTTGATTTTTAAAAAATGTGCACCATGTAACTTTTCAGGTGGACGTGTTGGTCTCGCTAGAGAAATTATTGCTTTATCTGGAAAGTTCACAGTATGCTTATTTCCATGCACCAGGCCAGGTCAGATCTGTGGTGAGGCGACTCCACTCACAGTAACAATGCATGTTTTTCGAGTTATAGTTCGCCAATACAAACACCTGTAATGAAGTAGATGCACAATAGATATGTTTAATGCCATACTCTGGAGCATTTCAGCCCTCTCTATGAAGACAGACAGGTAGAGGAAAAGTTACATAGTGCACTTTTAAAGTAAAAGATTATATTTTAACCTAGGATTTGTCCTGGTTTAGTGTTCTGGTTTAGTTACATTAGTTACATCACAGTTTACACCTGGTTTTATCTCATTTATCAATACTAATCTGAGTCTGTTGAAATCTGTAAGTCAAATATTTTTGAAGGTGTTACTTGGTGGGAAAAGCATTAGTTTAGCATGAAGAGTACTGTATTAGCACTCTTCTGTACGTAGGGATTATGGATAAGGATCTCATACAAAAACATACAAACACATACAAACTGCTGAACACTAAACTGGGAAATAAACATTGAGTTCCTAAACAAACAGTGGATACTTGAGGAGTGACTGACCTTTTGCCAGAAGTTGATGTAGAAAACCTCTCTGGTGAAGTTAAAGTAAATGTTGGTATCATACGCATCGTCCCCCATGTTGGCGATCGTCAGATTTAAAGAAATGTTCTTCACTCCTCCCAGAGCTAAATGGGGCCTAATATGGACTCTGTAGAGATACAAGGGATATATAAATACACTTTTTGTATGGGACTTTGATAAAAATATATTAGAAAAGGGAGAGCATATAGTGACAAAGATTAACCAATACGTAAACTACAATGATCTCTGTGGGGCAATAATATTTTAACTGCCAGATTTAAACAGGCCAAATCATGAGGACTTGGAAAATGGGTTAGACCAACGGGATGCAGAGCCAACTCTTACTTTGATCCTAGTCTAGTCCTGGTTTAGTCTTGGTTTATTGCTGGTTTAGTCCTGGTTTAGCCCTGATCTAGTCTTTTAGTCCTCCTGTTTTAATCATGGTTTAATTCCAGATTCAGCCCCAATTCTACTCCATTTTGATGCACAAAAGCAGCTTCATCGCACAGCACAGATTATGAATTTAGGGAACAAGGGTTAATCCCTGATGAATTCAACAGACCGGCTACTGCAGTTCACATTGCTTTAGATGAAAAGTTAATAGAGCTGCTGATAGAAAATGCCAGTATATGGAGCAAGCACATAGTGTTAAGAGGTTATATATAGTATATGTCAAGTGCTCATGATAGAAAAACTCCTAGCTTGGGTTGTATTTTAATTTGACATGCTTTTAGTGAAGAGTCTTGGGAGTTTCGCTAACTGTACGAATATAAAAAATAGAGGTAACTCCCTAGGAATGGAAAAACATATGGATATCCTCCAAGCATGCGTCATTCCCCTGCTCCCCACACCCACATGGCCTATGACGTCAGCCGGCTTCTTCAGAACAGGATTCAGACTGCACTCAAATATACACAACACAAGTCTTACCCAGAGAGATACATTTTCCCGTGAAGTCTCAAGTCTGCAGCACAATCATCAGACAAGCAGTTCTTCTCAAAATAAGTCTAAAAAACAAAGAAGAGACTGGCAAAGTTCATATGACCTCATGCATTCACACACTGACGGAGTATTTAGTCTAGGGGGCAGTATTGTGCTTTTGTTGGACCAGCAGCTTTGTAACTGAGGAAGCCCATACATTTGAAACTTTCTGATCTCTCTTTTAATCATAGCGCTCTTTGGTTTTAGGTTAAATCTTACAGGAAATTCAAGTCAAGCCGAAAAGACCAATGTGACTTTGATGATTTTTAGATAGATCACTTGCAGGCGCTGAAAGACACAAATCCTTGCGTTTTTCAATAGCACTGCAGACAGTATAGGGAAACACATGTGGGGTAGGTTAGAGGTGGTTGCAAATGAAAATAAATGAATCAGTCTCTTGGATGGGACTCAAGAAAAGCGAACATAGACAATAATAAGCTGGTAACGCACACCGAATCATTACAACCTTAATTTTGGCCATTTCCGTTACGCCTTTTGTGGTCTGAGAGACGACATGCCATCGCTGCGTTTGAGAGGTGTGGGGTCGGATTCATTTTCAGACCAATCAGCTGAGGAAATGAACTGTGTCAGATTGTGTATTGGCTGAAAATATACACGAGTGATAACAAGAATGTAATTTTTCTCTGGCCGAACGTAATAATGTCAAGGTATTGATGGAATGCTTTTCTTTCATGCTGTAGTGGTCATTAATTAATTTTAGTGTGCATGTTTGGGGTCCTGTAATGTTTAGAAATTCTATCTAGAGGTAATTTAGATGTATACGCTTATTTTCTGGTGATGGAGAAAGGCTATTGTTGTGTCATTCTGCAAGAACCTTTGCCCATGTATGAATGTGGTGTTACGTGTGAGTGATTAATGTCCACCAGTCACACTTATGTCAGCTTACCCCAGGGCAGATGTGGCAATAGAAGTAGGGGAGTGACTGAATAATAAATTGAAAAAATGCTTTTTGGGGCTAGTGCATTTTTATTTTTGTATGCAAACTCCAATAGCGTGTCAGTGAGTTAGTCTGGGAATTGAAACCTACAGTCTTATTCAAGAAATATAATCTTTTTGTTTGCTTGGTGATTTATATTGATATCTAATATATATAATTTGTTGTTCCCTGATGTCTGTATCTATACTCTAATCTAATCTAATCTTACCTCATTCTTTGCAGCTATTTTGTTTCCTTTCCTCCATCTCAGAACAGGGGTGAGTGCAGGCAGATCTTTGTCCTGATGTCCGGAGATAATATGTTGCCCCAAACTGTACGCCACTTCAAAGGAGATGGCAGTGAACACATCCTTCACATCTTTCTGTAGAGAGAAAACAGCAGCATAATTATAATTCAATAAGAAAATATCCAATGTCACTTAAGTACATTTGGTTATTGTTTATGGCCCACTTATGCTACTGTCAAAATGCACTCCAAAGCTTTTCCTAGCACCGGCAGCCAATTTCAATATATTGCTATATCTAGTTGTGTTTTAGGGACTATATTTGTCACAATGATTCTCCTGTCTGTCTTCTTTCCCCTTTTCAATACTGGTGTCAAAACATAAAATAAAGTGCAGTGATTTGCATTCATCTGACCCAGGTTTTAATGGCTAATGCTTCTACTGATGCAATATATCCATGCTTGGGACTGGTAATAATAAACCAGCTCAATAAGGTTTCTATAGTGCTCCTAAATAGAAGCTATAACATTGCTGTATTTATGAATGCATGCCTTTGTCAGATTCACAAAGCTGTTTGGGCTAATTTAACCCCTATGGCAATTGAGCATTAATCTTATTGTATCTGAAAGTACTTGGTGAATAACCCCAGTGTAGTAGGTTCATGTGACAAGTTCATTAAGGCCAATTTGTTCCTGATCAATTCATCTTTTAGACATTTTAAAGGCAAAAACAACCGATTTTTTCAAAAACCTTTTGGCATCGCCTCTGAGAGAATCAGCTCTTCGTGTTTCTGGGGGTTTAATCTATGTCTATAAAAAAGTGTTTGAATTGGCTTCAGAATTGGAAACAACGCAGGCAGGAATGAAAACAAAATGAGAGCTCACATCTTCATTAGTACTCTGAACAGAAATATACATGGAGAAACAAATATTATAGTTCACTCAGTGTTAGTGCTATCAAGTACAGACATACCACAGAAGTATAGTTCTCACCCAGAAAGTAAACATTTAAAAGCAGTTTAAAGGTCCCATATTACACAAAGTTGACTCTTGAGCTTTAAGACATGTTAGAATGTTGTTACCTTCTCAAAAACTTGCTGTGTTTTGCTTCATTCACATATGTTTGAGTACTCCTTTATTATTAGTCTGGCTACATGCCCAAAGCTCAAAAGACTCTGTACCACCTTGTGGTGTCATGTAATGGTAGTTTTCATGTTAACAACTAGCTTTTACCTTTAGTTTTGTATAGATTGGCAATTCCTGAAATCTGAAATCATCCAAATGATTCTTGCGAAGGTGTATGGAGTTTTAAAACACAATGGAGCTCTTCCTGTATTGCTGCATGACATCGCAAGGTGGAACAGGGTGTTTTCTGTTTGAGAGAAGATCTCAGCCTAAATATGCATGGTTTATGTGTTAAACATGTGAATGAAACAAAACAACTCCAGCTATTGATAAGGAAACAATATTACAACATAGAACAGAAGACAGTATCATATAGGCCTTTTAAGACTAAATAACTTCTAAACTAGAACTTTCTTGGGGCTAAACATTGTCTAAAACAGGTCTACAGCAGTTGGACCAAAATCTGACAAACTAGGTTCACATTTTTAACTGTTTACTACAACAACATTGACACATGTACCAGGATTTTAATACACTGCTTAATCTTGCTATGATATATATATATATATATATATATATATATATATATATATATATATATATATATATTACAGAGCCTTTTGCTATCCACTCCTGATACACTCCACTCTTTGAAAGCAGCCCACAGGTTACAGCTCTAACTTTGGAGGTTAAAACACAATCTTTATGGACAACCTGCATCCTCTTCATGCACTGTTCTCCAATGGAGCCAAACCCACTATGTCAACACACCAGGTTGTCTGTGTTATCCATTAAAGCCAACTTTCACTCTTCTATCACATTATCAGTTTGGGTTCACACGCCCATCCTCTTCTCTTCGCCCGGGCTTTAAACAGACAGGGGGCGTTACCCTGGAGATCGCACCCGTGTCATCAGTTCAGGGAGGACAGGAAGTGGACGGCATTTGGACAGGACGCGGATCAGAACAAGAGATTTGGGCTCATTGGGGAAATGATGCAGCGAAGCGATAACACTGCTGCTCTGCTGGTGTAGACACTAATATTTGCGGCTGTCTATCCAAACATAGAAGCTAAATCAGCACCATTAACCATTTTATAACAAATAAAATAATAAACTTACATCTTAGGTTTTCTCAAATATTTATAAGTGAGATCTTAATGAACAAAATTATCAAAAGAAAAACATAAACTAAGGATTAAACCTGTTCCTAATCTCAAATCTTGCGTTTTCCATCATATTTTAAACTATTGAGTCTGACTGTAATGTAATCTGTATGTTTATTGTATATGATGAGGTGAAATATAATAGTATTTTTTCAAGATATTAAAAAGTTACTGTTACTGTCAGAAGGCACACGTAGGGCATGTAGGGACTAGGTTCTCTCCAAAGTGTGTTTCCTGTCTTTAACTTTTCTCCATCACTTCTATAAAGTAAAGCAGGACACTGTCTACTGTTCAGTTAACAAGGAAATGACACCTCTAATTTGCCTGCACCCTTAATGAGGCTGGTCAGTAATAGGCCTACAGAGGTTAACTCCATTACCCAGAGTTCATAGTGCATGGGTGATCTGACATTTAGACCAAGTTTTTATCCTATTTGTGCTCAGCAGGGGGGAAACTCACACAATGTTGTAGTCAGTGTTCAACAGGGGCTGCTATACTTAAGTGCAGTGACATGGGCTCGGGTCCTCTCACTCATTAAAGGCTTCAAATGGCCCCTGTCCACTGGCCCCCGAGTGAACTGACCCCCTGGGAGTTCAGAGTCTGAAGTCCAGCTACTTCTTATCAGCTGTTTTCACGAGGAACTGGGAACAGAATGTCATGGCGAGCTGGATCGCAAACATTACTTTAAAAAAATGCAAAATAAAATGCGGGTTATGTGCTATTTTGGCGCTGTTCTTATCTTAACAATCTTTACAAACAACAGAGAGAGACCCCAGTTTTATATGATTATCTTCTGTCTTTGGTCTGTTACAAATGTTTATGTAAAATCCAGATTTTTCGAATCTCTGCATTTGAAATAGTATATGAACTATATCCTTTTTGCACTGAGTAGTTTTAAAGCAATGACACATAACTTTCTGGAGGTGGCATGTCACCAGATTGATTCCATGGAAAGTTAAAACCTTACTTTGGAATATTATCCATGGAGATAGATACAGTTATGCCATACTGGAATGGAATGGAAACAAGCAGGTGAAGGCTCTCCTCCCAGCCAAGTACAAGTCAGGTTTATGGGGAGGGAAAAAAGTATATTAGTACATATGTTTTGCTAAAGGCTTTATAGAAAGACCTGCCGATATTAACTTCAGAATGTGCTAATAAAGACTTGAAAAGTATGGAGGGAGTGCAAGAGGATGTTTGCTAACCTTTTGGCCAGTTCTCTATTATGCTTGACCATTGCATCCAGTAGCTCCACCCGAGTTTCCATCCGTCACACAGACACCTCTTGATCCTGTTTTTAATTTAGATATTTATGGAACAGAAAGGTTATTGAGCTGCTGCTAAAAAGGACAGCCACTTTAGCTAACTACTTCCCAGCATCATTTTGAAGAAAGGAACTCAACAACAGCCCTATATACAGGACTTTGTCATTGGAAATCAGTCTACACTCAAAGCCTGCTACTGTTAGCACTTATTTAAAAGGAAATCACAGGGTGGGCCACTGACGCTATTTAAGATAATCTCTTTATTCAGACTCCAGCGTTCTGAATGCGGTGGCCTGACAGATTGTTGCTATTTGTTGCTAAGGATGTAAACAACAAAATACACCAGGAGCGGCAACAAAAGAGTGAGAAACTACAGCATTAAGTTTAAGTAGGCAATACCGTTATAGTGCAGGGCATCGCTTTAACTATGTTTTAATTGGTTTTAACTACAAAATGCTGTAAGGCATATTGAAAGAACTTTAAAGGGGATAGGTAAAGGCGCACTTAAAGGTGCAACTTTCCTGGTGAAGGGTCTGCTCCATGGAGATGTTATTGCTTTGCTTGGAATGATGAACAATATGACTTTAAACATATACATTTAACATCTGTGTTTCTGTTACTCAAAAATATAATCATTGCTCTTGTGAATAGGAGTGACTCTCCACAAATCTGTATTATAATGAAGTGTAGTGCTTGTTCCCTGTGGAATATTCATGACAAAGCAATCAAATTTCCATAGAAATAAGCAGGTGGTGGACCTATGAGTGGAAGGAGGGGAAGATTGTGTTGAAAAGAGGAAATACAAAACATAAATCAACAATTTGTCTGTACTTATTTAAAATTAAAAAATTTGTTCAATCATAAGTTGCTGCAATTTCCAACAGAATAGTAAAACATTGCTGATAATGATTCTTTGCATGTATCGCTTTAACTTTTCTTCACTTGTTTTTATTGGGGAAAATATGGTCCACACACGCTCCATATCTCATTAATGGTTTGAGGTATAGCACAGAGATGCCAACGCAGCCAACAGAAAGCAACTGTTTTCCATAAGTTGCCACATTGGAAACCGTAAATTCTCTGCTATAGCACAAAAACATGTTGTGTGTTGTGCTTTTTTTTCTTCTTTTTTTATGACACACTTGATGCCAGAAACCCATGCTCCCTTTATGTACATCCAAATAGTAAACTGGCAGGAAGCAACACTGGAGTTTGCCATTGTGTTTGGAAACAAAACAAAAAGGAATCGAACCTCCACCTGTGAAAATCTCTCCCTTTAGACTAGGTAATGAGCTAGGTCCTAGGGGCTATCTATTTTACATGGCTGAGACTAGCTCCTACCTCAGCAGCTATTTATTCTTTAACATTTCCGTTTTAGCCTTTCTATATGGCAGCTGTGCCTTTTGAGTTTAGTGAACCACTACTTTATGAATGACTTCACTACATTTATGCTCAAGGCTCTTTCACACGGTATTATCAGAAAAATGGCAACCAACCAAGCTGTTTCCTTACACAGCAGTTAGTAGTATAAATGAATATTATGAAAGACTTATTATTATGCATAGACAGCAAAGGTAATGTTTTGG